CCCCCCCCCCAAATCACACGGTAAACGTCAGTAAAATGCCTTGAGCACTCAAGGCGCGCACCACGTAACCTCCAAACGTTTTTATGTACATCCTCTTCAATGGAAGAAAGAGTGCTGCTGTCGTCGAACGACTCGGGAGCAGCCACAGCAGCAGGTTTGAGGCTCTGGAATTTGCCTTTGAATCTATCGCGCTTTCGTGGTCTGCACGTTCGTTCTTGTCCTCCATGACGGCTGCGGGTGCTGAGTGCCGTAGTAGGGCGTGTGAGCGAGGGTTACGCCCTCGCACAAGGGCTTGTGTGTGTGGTGTGTGGCTGGAAAAATTGCCGCCCACCGGGAAACAAAAACGGGATATCTCGCGAACCATTTTTTTTTTGAAAATCGGAAACATTTACCCCTGGGGAAACTCAAAATGTGGCGTTCTGCAACAGCGGAGGTGGCGGTGCTGCTGTAGCTCATAGACTTTGTAGTCTACCACAGAGGTTACTCTGCTGTCATCGCGGTGCTGCTGTAGCTCGTAAACTTTGTAGTCTATCACAGAGGTTACACTGCTATGAGATCGGTAGGCCCGAGCGGGATGAGAAATATAGATAGACTAGATGTTCTTATCAACGGACTCCCTGGTCAGGCTTTGATAGGTGCTAGATGAGAGTGAGCACAAGGGCGGAGGCGCGCTTGTGTCTCAGCTCAACAACAAAAACAAAAAACAAGCAGCAAACACAGCAGGTTCCGAGGGTCTTCGGGGTATTGACCCAACTACCGGAAGTTCGGGGTTCGGAATAATCGCAACTACAGTCTCGCCTGCCAAATTATCCCCGCTACAACTCTGTGCTCATGTTTGCTGCTAANACAAAAAACAAGCAGCAAACACAGCAGGTTCCGAGGGTCTTCGGGGTATTGACCCAACTACCGGAAGTTCGGGGTTCGGAATAATCGCAACTACAGTCTCGCCTGCCAAATTATCCCCGCTACAACTCTGTGCTCATGTTTGCTGCTAAGTACCATCTCTTCTCTCTGTATTATGTCTACGGAAGGCTAGTTGCCGCAGTCGCACCTATGGTAAACTGTGCCTGACTACGTTTTAACAGTTTTCCTCGACAGGACCCCTCGATTAGGCAAGTAGCCGATGTTCCAAAAAAGAACAAAAAAGAAAAGCTTCACTTCGCTGCCAATTTTTTGCGACTCCTCAATTCCCAATCCATATCAATATATCGACCTCCACTTGAGTGAATCCATCCTGTGAGCAATACACGCGTTCAAAACATTCAATCATACTATGCGAACTTGTGCTTAATATCTTCTAGCACTTTTAGTCATTGATGAGTTGCATGATGGTGGCGAATCTCTGCTTCGGGAAATGTTTCGTCGCGATGTCCTTGTTTGTATATGTCCTTTACTTGGAAGGGGAAGACGTTTTATCTCTTGTAATAGACACGCAAGGGGAGTAGGGAGACGTGAAGCCCTCTTTGGCGTTCAAGGGATCCCCGCACATGCAACCATTTCAAGGTGTACATATGCCCCATCTGCGTGCGCTCTATTGTTGCCGGTAGATCTAACCAGTCCGTATCCAAACACACGAACACCCTCCCCGGTTTGCACGCGAATGGCAAACCTATCGTGGGGCATGGATACCCCTGATCTACCAAAGGGACTCAAAACAACAACAGGCTCGAGTCGAATTCCGGCCAACCGGATCCTTCCGGTAGTACTCTAACTTCTCTCTGCCAAGGACCTTGGTCAGCATGTCGGCGTCCTTCTCTCCAGCCGGAACATATTCTGCAGTGACCTTGCCCGACTTCAAAAGCTCGCGAATGAAATGGAACCGCACGTCGATGTGCTTGCTCCTCGCTGAGCTGAACGGATTCTCGACTAAGGCGAGAGCCCCCTTGTTGTCCTCAAGGACCTTGATCTTCGCCCCAATCGTCTCGGGCGCTATGAACGACAGAACGCCACGCACAAACAACGCCTCCTTCACGCTCTCCCCGCCTGCCATAAACTCTGCTTCCGAGGTCGACTGAGCCGTCACTGGCTGCGTCTTGGTGGGTGTAAACACAACGGTACCACCTACGGTCACAGCTAGCCCGGTCGTAGAACGCCTGTCTACTTCGTTGTCAGCATAGCTGGCATCGACAAACACGCTTAGGTCTAGTCCTGACTGCCGTACGTAGGTGATGCCGAAGTCCTTCGTGAACTTAGGTAGGACATGATCCGCACAAGCGCGTTCCATATCCTCCCGGTGGGTGAGTGGGCGATCTTCTGGAGCTTGTTCAGAGGCAGGGCGATGTCTGGCCTCGTCAGCTTCGTCCACATCAGGCATCCGATCGACTCCCTCACACAAGCTTGCTTATCCACCGCGGGCTCGTCATCTCTCTTCGGCCCTGAGTCGGCATCGGCGGCAGCAGGGGTGAAAGCGGTCGTGGTCACATCATTCCGCCTCAGCATACTCTCCATGTATGCTGTCTGGGACAGCTTGGTGATGCCATTTTCTACATCCATGGCGATAGCACACCCGTCGTACCAGGTACACTCCCCCAGATCTTTCACCGGAAACTTCTTGTTGAGGGAAGCGAACAACTACTCTCGCTCTCCCTCGTCTGCCGCCACTAAGATGTCTTCAGCGTAGATCACGATGAGACCTACGACCTCTCCATCCACCAGCTTCCGGAAGACACACGGGTCAACCCTGCACTGCTCGTATCCATTCCCGATGAGGGCATCGGCAGCTTCAAACCCCCACTCACAGCCACTCTGCTTTAGGCCATACAGGGCACGCTCAACCTTGACCACCTTGCCGGACATGCTACCACAGCCTTCCGGGAACCTGAGGTATATTTCTTCGTTTAACTTAGCGTGGATGTACGCTTGCTTCACATCCCAGTGACCGAGATTCTTGCCCTTTTCAGTGGCTACGGCAATCACCGTCTTGATAGACGCTGCAGACGGGCACGCTGTGGATGAGCGGTGGAAGTCGATGCCGGGGATTTGAGAGAAACCCCGTGCCACTATACGGGCCTTGAAGTCGACTATCAGGCCCTTCTCATTCGTTTCCCAGAGAACACCCACTTTGAACCTATGGCCTTCCGCCCCTCGGGGAGCTCCTTGACCTTGGTTAAGGTTCCAGTCTTGTCGTGGCCATCTATCTCTGTTTTCATGGCCGCCTCCCAGAAAACCTTGTACGTGGAACACATCACATCCTTGTACGTCATCGGTACTGCTTCCACATCACTCGGCTTCTGCCGGATTGGCGAGGTCATACTTAGCTGTGGGTCTGGGAGTGGTTGCGACGACCCGCTGGCGTCGACCTCGGCCCCGAACGTCTGCTGTTTCGGGCCCAACACCTCTTNACATCCTTGTACGTCATCGGTACTGCTTCCACATCACTCGGCTTCTGCCGGATTGGCGAGGTCATACTTAGCTGTGGGTCTGGGAGTGGTTGCGACGACCCGCTGGCGTCGACCTCGGCCCCGAACGTCTGCTGTTTCGGGCCCAACACCTCTTGCATCTCGCGCCTGTACATCTCCTCCATACGGCGTGTCTGCTCCTCGTCCCACTGCTCCTTCACGAGCGAGTTGCAGATGTAGTCCTCAACAATCCCCGTCCCGCCAGTTTCCAGGATGGTCGCCAGCAATGCCTCTTGCGGGTCCGATGTTTCTCCGGCCCCCGGCATCTCCCCGACACCTTGCATCTCCCGGGTCTGCTTCCGCGTGCGGCCACTCTCAAGCCCATGGCGCAGCGGGCCAGCGTTCGAGGCGCCCCAGAGGAGTTTCTTCCCTTCTAGCCCGCGGGGGTAGCGGTCGTCGGCTGGATCATACTTCAACTCCTCGAGGTTCTCGGAGTCGCCGGGATCACCATCGCTACCGCCGTCCCCACCTGGGTCGCCGGACTCTTCGCCGCCCGGGCTGCCGGCACTGCCGCGTCACTGCTGCTGCTGCTCGGGCTGCTGCTGCTGCTGCTGCTGCTGCTGTCGGTGGGTCTGTCACTGCCTCCGCCTAAGTCGCCCTTTCCCGAAGGGGGCGACGGGGGAACGCTGCCTCCATCCCCCGGCATCCCGTTGCCGGGTGCCGTCGGCGCCTCCTCGCGCACTAACGGCGTCGCTTGCCCTGGCCCACGAGCCTCCATCACGTCGAGGTCGGACTCACTCTCTGAGTCTCTCTCCCCCCCCCAACCTTGGCGTGATGCATCCGCTCTGCTCTCGCCCTCCCCGCCCTCCTCGTCATCTGCGAGAGGTAGCAGCTGGGGGGGAGAGGGCGATGCAGCGGGCACGTGGCGCCAGGTGAAATTGCGGGTGGTGATTACGGTTCCAGCTTCGGTTAGCATGCGAACGCAGTCACGGGGGTGATTGTGGGCGGGACCAAGGTACCATCCTGTTTCGCCCTTGGGTTGCGCCTTTGCTTTTCTTCTCGACTTGGACACGGCTGGTTTGAGAAACGGGTATGTAGACCCGACAGGTGGTGGGGAGTCGTGGAACATCTCGTAGGCGGATTTGTCTCCCTCGTTTGATTTAGTGGCGGTGCAGTTCAGCTGATGGCATGCACACGAAATGGCCTCGGCCCACAACCCGGGGTGGTTCGGTGCGTCGGGGAACAGTTGCGTCGCTTGGATGCGTGACGCAAGCGCGGCATCAGTGATCAACCCTAGCGCTCTCTCCGCTACACCGTTGCATTTCGGGGTGTGAGGGAGGGTGAACTCTTGTTTGATGTCGTGTCTGCGGCAAACTTCCGCAAACTGCCCCTGGAACTCGCCGCCACCGTCGGTACGTGCGATATAAACCTCACACGGAACCCCTTTCGTTCGGTAGTCCGCCAGGAACTTCTCAAACCCAACCGCTGCGTCAGACTTGTGTTTCAAGAAGAAAACACGCGTCCAACGGGAGAAATCGTCTCTGATGATCAGTGTGTACCAGTTGCCACCAATGCTCCTGGTTTTCATCTTTCCCCCCAAGTCGAGATACACGCGAAATAACTTCTTAACTGCGCGTGTGCTCGTGCTCTTCTGGACGGGTTTCACCTGTCCCTTGGACATCGAACAGCCAAGACAGGGTAGCAGCGGTCCATCCGTCAGCTGCACTCTCTGCTGCTCCGCCGTGATCCTGAGCAATGTCTCGTGGGCATGGCCGTGCGCGAGGTGGTACTCGTTGAAGTCAGTGGGGTTGGCTGCTTTCGCATCGCCAGGAACAATGAGTGCGGCACAAGCGGTGTGTAGCGTTGGCTTTATTTGATAGCCTCGTTAGGCCAGCAGCTTTCCAGTCCGGGGTAACCACACCTCCCCCCCGGCTTTCGTGGCCAGCGTGAGGCCCCCCTTCATCCCCGAATACGTGTGGCCCTCCTCCGCCAACGAAGACAGCGAGAGGAGGTTGTAGGGGGCCTCTGGTACATGGGCAGCATTCAGTACTGGTACGGGTACTCCACCATCTTCCGTCTGTAGGACTAAGGTCACATCTCCGTATCCTAGAAGAGGAACGGGGGCCTTGTCGCCTCCGATCCCCTTCACCCAACCGCTACGCTCACGGTAGTTCACGAAGTTGTCTGCACATCGGAACATGGAGCACGTGGCCGCTGTGTCGGCCACGTACACCGCCTGGCCTTGTTCCACAACCCCCACTACACCTACTTTACCAACGGTACCACATTCGCCTGGGGGGACTGCCACGGCACAAAACGCCTGGTCTTCCACGGAGTCCACGTCGCTCTCATGCTCCACCACTTGCGCTAGGACGGCCTCCTCCGTCGCGCACTTTTCTTTGGTGTGGCCCCACCCCTCGCAGCGCGCACACCACGGCACGAAGTCCTTCTCGTTGGTAGTGAAGCCGATTGCTTCATGTCCACGATGTCCACACCTAAAGCACCGGCCCGGGAACTTATAGTCCCCGCCACCGCCGCCATCGGCGCTTCCACTGCTGCTTCCCTTGCTCTCCTCGACTCCTCCGAAGCGGCCGCCGCGACCGCCGCCGCCGCCGCCGCGACCGCCTCCGCCGCGGCCACGACTGCTGCTGCGGCCACGGCCGCCGCCACGACTACGACCTTGCCCCTGACTCATACTTGAGTACCGCTCTCTGCGGCCCTCACCGTCGGCGAAGTACGCTTGCTCTGCGCCCTTCGCCCCTTTTCCTTTCCCTTGCTCCAGCTTGTCCTTGATCGCCTTGTATTCGATCATTACTTCCTTTAGCACACCGGTCCGCGTCAACTCCTTCGCGTGTCGCAGGTTGTGCTTTGTCATGGCATACTCGTCCGAAAGGGCATCCAGGAAGAGGTGAAGGACGAACGTTTGGTTGACAGTTGGTCCTTTCTCGGTTAAGGACTTTGCGGTTCGGAGCATCTCATTGAGGGCGTTTTGGGGGGTTTCACCTCCAGAGATCTTGATCGACGTCAGGGACTTGAGGTCCTCTGACGGCTGTACAGATGATTCAGGGTCGTGTATGGTCTGGTGTTATTATTGTACAGACAGCACTTCAGACAGCAGTACGCTGTAGTCGACATTCATTTTGGTTAAGTGCAGGACAAGGCGGGTGATGCTGCTGCTGTAGTCGATTTGTAGTGTGTGGGCGTGTAGTTCAGTTGTGAGCATGCAAACGTGCTGCAGGGACTGCAGGTGTACCTCCTCGGGCTTGTGTACCCTTTTCTTGCTGATAGTGTGTGTTCTGTAGATCTTCCGGTGGCTCTAGCATTTTTGTGACCACGGACCGAGTCTTCGCTAGATTTGGGATTAGCAACTGACACGAGTTTAATGTGAAGAAAAACAACAACAACAACAATGGTCTTGAGCTTACGAAGAGCTCCCTGGGGCGTCTCTGCCCTCTTCATGATTTCAACGCGTGAGACAGGAAGTTCCACGCGTGGAATGCGAGCTCTACTTGCTCGTTCCGGGACTGCTGTGACAGCGAAAACGTGCTCTTTCCGCTGTTGACGGGGATCTCCAAGCTCCCGCTCTCTTCAAATTGTTCCAGCAGGTTTGCGCCATTAGCTGTCACGCGGAAATCATTTAGCCGTTCGTTGAAATCTTTCGATTTCACGCTGAACGGAGGAGAAGTGTACCGCATACTTTGGTACCCCATCGCCGGGGTAGTGGCTCCGTATCCAAAGCCAACACCAGCACCACCATCTCCCATGGCGCTACTATAATCTTGGTTGTGAGCAGCGGCTACTCTCACCTCTTGGGGGACAAAGCCCCCTGCTTCGCCGCTGTGTCGCCCTGACGGGCCACACTCTCGAACAGGTTCGCGCAGGTACCTCCCGTCCTGCGCACTCCCGGTCCACGATGCCCCTCCTTCGGCGTTCGTGGACTCCGCGGCGGCGCTCTCCCTAGCATCGCCGCAATCAGCGGCACCCTCCATGGTACCAGCTGGCTCCTCCTTCTTGCTTGCCTTCATGGTATCTTCCACTAGCGACATTAGCTGGCCCGTCTGATCCGTCAGCGAGCTAACTTGCGTCCTCAGAGCCACGAACTCTTCTCTTGACCTCTTTCTGTCTTCCGCTGCAGAGTCGCTGGAGGAGTCACCCCCATCTTTGCGAGCTGACATTCCTAATGGACTCTCCCTCGAGGGACTGACACTAGTGTGTTCGAATATGTCCTTTACATGGAAGGGAAAGACGTTTACTGTCTTGTAGTAGACGCGCAAGGGGAGTAGGGAGAAGTGAAGCCCTCTTGGGAGTTCGAGGGGTCCCCGCACATGCAACCATTTCAAGGTGTACAAATGCCCCATCTGCGTGCCGTCGGTTGTTGCCGGTAGATCTAACCAGTCCGTATACAAACACACCAGTCCGTATACAAACACACGAACAGTCCGGTATCATTGTGGCACTATGTCGGTGGTGAAGAGTGATCCAGTGCCCCTTCGTGAGTTCCCTGAGGAAGAACCGGAGCGCGATGTGCTTGGTTCTAGAGCTGAACATCGCGTTGCTGGCCACAGTCAATGCTCCGGTGCTGTCGCTGTTGATGGGTACCGATCGAAAGGTCTCGAATCCGATTTCCGTCATGAAGTTGGAGATGTAGACTGCCTCGCGGGCACTGAAGCTCAGCGCTTGAAGTTCGGCCTCCACGGTGTTCTGTGCTGCGAGAGTCCGTGCCTTGGCTCCGTAGCTGATCAGTCCCCCTCCTAGGAAGAACAGGTATCCGGTGGTAGACCTGCCGTTGTCTGGGTTGGCTCCAAACGACAAGTCAGTGAAGCANTTGATAGTTCTGCTCCATACCCGGGGGTGCTGACCGGGTTTGCCTGTTCTATTCCGTATCGCTGTAGGATATCTCTAGCGCANCGTAGCGGGTGCATTGGGCAAGGTACAGGAGACTCCCGATGATGGCCTGAAATCTCTGCGTGTCCTCGGGTCCGAGTAGTTGGTCTTGTGGCTGCTCGGTTGATAGTTCTGCTCCATACCCGGGGGTGCTGACCGGGTTTGCCTGTTCCATTCCGTATCGCTGTAGGATATCTCTCGCGTAGGGTCCTTGCGATATGGCTAGTGTGCCATGTTCGTAGTCCCGCTGCACTTCGATGCCGATTACGCGCTTGACCTCTCCCATGTCTGTCATTTCGAAGCTGTCCATGAGTTCCTTCTTTTTCCTGCTTACGATCTCCTTGTTTCCGCCCGTGATGAGGATGTCATCGACGTAGATCGTTAGGATTGTGAGTTCGTCCCCGCTTACGAAGATGTAGACACAGGGGTCAGAGCGAGTGCGCTGCCAGCCGAAGATGATGAGTCTGTCATTGATGGCGTCGTTCCACAGTGACGGGGACTGTGACATGCCGTACAGACTTTTCTCCAGTTTGTAGACCATCATTTCACCTGTCGTAGGGTCCCTCTCCTCGTCGCCTGGCGCCGGCCTGACGTAGACGTCTCTGTCGGTGTACGCGTTCAGGAATGCAGCTACCACGTCCAATTGGTACACCTCCCATCCGTGTTCGCAAGCGATGGCGAATAGCATGCGGATGCTACCCAATCGGGTTACTGGAGCGTAGTTCCTTCCGAAGTGTCGTCCTGCCCGTTGGCGGTGTCCCCCGGCGACTAAGCGGGCTTTGAAGCGACTGTCGGCCTTGATCTTGAACACGAAGCGTGTGTCGAAGATGTCCTCATCCTTCGGTACCAGGCTGATGCGTACTTTCTTAAAGACTTTGTGCTTGGCGAGATTACCCATCTCGGTGTCGATAGCGCTCTTCCACTGCTCGCGTTGTGGTGAGTTCATGGCTTCGGTGTACGTGCTCGGAGTTTTGATCTCTTGGTTTGTCTCCCTCAAGAACCCTTTGGTCTAGGTGCCTGTGGCGTAAGCATTCGCCCGGGCTTCGGCGAAGGCGTCTTCATCCAGGTGGGCAAAATCCGCCGCGTCAGTAGGGCATCGTTGCTGCGCTTGGTGGGTGAGATCGAGTAGTTGATCCTCGGTGAGCTCCAGTGGGTCGGGGTGGCTGACAGCCATGGCAGAGCGGCCCCTGTCGTTCATGTTCACTTCCAGAGATTTCGGGATGCATGAAGGGTCGATAGGGTCATCTGTGGGTTGGTGAGTGCGCGTGGCAGGACGGGTCACCGTTAGTCGACGCATTGGGATCGGGGCTGGCGAAGCGGAGTTCGTGTCTGTTGGCGTCGTGGGTGATTCGAGTGTCGTGTCCTGCGATGTCCTGGATGGTGTCGTAGTCCGCGAGTTGTCATTGCTGTCATCTCCCCCAGCAGCAAAGTAGTCGTCGGAATCCGTTCCCGCGTTTCTTTGGCGAAGTTCTGCTTGGTTGATGTTGTCTTGCTGCATGTTGCGCATCTCGTGCAGTAGGAGCTCTGAAGTTTTGGGAAGTCTCCATCGCGCAGTAGAGCTCGAGTCACAGCCGCAAGTGTCTGGCCATCCCTTTCTGACACTCCGATTTCTTGGGGCGTGTTGGTCGCGGCGAATTCCAGCTTGATCGCAGACTCCCTACAGTAGTTGCGCATTTCTTCCTCAGTGTTCTCTCCCCCTTTGTCACAACGTAGAACCTCGATGCGCAATTGCTCGTCAAGGAAGATGTTGCGCATGGTGGCTTGCATCTGTTGTACGTCGAATGATGGGTCGCGGAAAACCATCATCTTGATGTCCTTGTAGTCCTCGGAGAAACCTTGCACACAGATGTCCTTGAAGCGGCGATCGGAGATGGTTTCCCCCATTTTCTCTAGTTGAGAGCGGAGGCGGTGTTTCTTGTTGAAAAAATCGTCCGGGTTCTCTCCTGGCTCCATGACCGTCCTTTCCAGGTCGTCCAGTTTAGCCCTGATCACTTCATCTGTCACTCGATTGTAGTTGGCCTTCAGTTCCGCGAATGCTGCCTGCCCGTCGCCGCTAAGGCCGGTGTCGNGGTCCTTGAAGCGGAGGTCGGAGCTGGTTTCCCCCATTTTCTCTAGTTGAGAGCGGAGGTGGGACCAACGCGGCCGAGGGGGCGGGTGACACCACGGTAGCAGCTTTGGTAGACAGGATCAGGACCGTGGCGCCAACTGAAGCGCCTCTTCCCGGGTTGGTGGCACCGAACGTGTTCTACGGTGAGAGAAGAAGTACCCGCCCGAGTAAATCAAGTACCGAGAGTGAGGAACATGAAATTAGTGCAGAACCAGAGCTGATAGACCAATCTCACCAAGGAGTAGAACAACCGTGTACTCGTAGAAGTACCAGCCAAAGTAAATCACGCACCAATAGCGATGAACATGAAATTACTGCAGAACCGGCGCTAGTGGATCCCTCTTACCAAGGAGATGAATAATCGTGTGCTAGACTTGAACAAATGAGAGAAAAAGACCCCGTAACACGGGAGAAGAGAGGACCCGACGTGAACATTGGAGAAGACCCCCGTAATAAGGGAGAAGCAGACCCCTCGCACCAGGGAGAAGATCGCAAGAGTGCTAGACCCGATACGTGTATTGGAGACGAAGACAGAGAAAGACCTAGTGGGAACACTAGAGAAGACCCCCATAGTAAGGGAGAAGCAGACCCCTCGCAGAGAAAATCACAAGAGTGCTAGACCCAATACGTGAATTGAAGACAAAGATAGAGAAAGACCCAGTGCGAATACTGGAGAAGACGTCTGCAACAAGGAAGACGCAGACCCCTCGCGCGAGGGAGAAAATCGCAAGAGTGCTCGACACAATACGTGTATTGGAGACAAAGACCCTACGGCAAGAGGGACACGGATAGTGACGGGTCGGCAGCCTTGCCACCCCCTTATGAGAATCTACTGGCTGAAATGTGGAGGTAACAAAAGGAACGCCTAGCACGTGGTACACGACTAAAACAGGAAATCATTCACAAACTTGCGAAGACTGGTAGCATGTTTCTGAAAACGAACGACGGAAAGTTCGGAGATGTCGCGAGGGCAATCGGCGGCACCTTGGTGTCACCGCCGCTAAACCCGAGCGACCTCGAACAACACTTCGGAACCAAAAAACGCTTCCCAGACTTCGCGACTCATAGACATCGTAATCGTAGACAACGGTGTGCCAGCGAAAACGCACGACAGCCCGCCTAACCTCGAGAGCGCTCTGCGATACGGAAACCACAGTACGATAGACGCCCACACGGAACTGGTGTGGCAGAAGCTGATAGACGACGTCGAACAGAACAGATGCCTCGTGTTCGACGTAGCGAACGCAGCTTGCATGAAGGGCGTTCGCGTATCGCCGCTAGGGGCAGTCGTAGGGAAAAAAATCAGAGTCATCAACGATTTTTCTTTTGACCCCAAGCTACTGCGCGGACAGAAGGGAGGAGTCCACGTGGATACGGTAGCGGAAGAAGTACTCGACTGTGTGTGCGGAGAGACTACCTGCTTTCCTTTCTGAAACAACGCGCTTGAGAGTCAAATGGCCTGACAAGAGGATACTAGTGTCCACGGCGGACGTGAACAACGCTTACCGAAACGTGAGAGTTGCGCCAAACGATGCACATCAATTCTGCTATGTGATAAGAGACGTGCTAGTCGCCGACTTCAGACTGACGTTTGGATGGGCAGGTTCGCCCGTTTTTTGGGGAGTCATGGCATCCGCTGCTAAACACCCACACCGCGCAACACCAACGTACACCACGTACAACTAGTAGACGACGGGATCGAAATGATGTCACATGTGAAAATAGTCGAGCCGTGGGAAGACGGACAACCCGCCCGAGTGCCCCGAGATGCCAACGTGAAACCGCATGACGGAGGCGGACCACACGATGATTTCTCGTGTGGGATGTACGTAGGCGATTTCGCTTTCCTGAAAGTACAACATACGCCAGACAACGCTTCAGCGCTGGTAGCCTCCGCGTCATTAGCGACTGACTGTGTGAGACTCTTCGGGCCAGCAGAGGCGGGCCAAACGTCCATTCTCGCCCCGAAGAATAGCACAGACTGGAACACGAAAGTGGACTTTCTCGGACACACGATAGACACATATGAAATGACGATCGCGACGACACGTGAGAGGATCGACGCGATAAGGACCGCGCTAAAGAACGATTGGCCACAGACCAGAGAATTCGCCAGTGTGCAAGAAGTCCTGAGTATGGCGGGAAAACTCCGGAACCTGACATACGTCGTGAGGGCGGGGAAATATTTCGTTTGGCAACTCTTACGCCTCACCGGCCTACACGACAAGACTAACAGACAGTCGAGAGAAGCGGCAGGTACGTCTTGGTTGGGAGTTCCACGGAGACCTAGACTTCTGGAGATGGGCGCTGGAAGTTAAACTCGCGGAGAAAGGAGAGTCACTTGGTGCGTTTTTCTTTAACCACGTCCAACGCACGCCTCTCCATCACTACCTACCGGATGCTAGCTTCGACGCAGTAGGCGGACACTGTCCCATACTAAAAGTATTCTGGCGGCATCGATTTAAGCCCGCGTTTACCGCGGAGCTGAAAAGGAAAGCAGAAGCCAAAGAAACCATCGCAACCACGATCAACACGCTAGATTTGCTCGGAATGATAATTACATGCTGGGGGGTCCAAATGGTCGTGGGAGAAAGCCGACGCAACCCGGACCAGCTGTCATGATGAGGGGAGACAATGTGTCGGCGGTATCATGGGTGAACAGATGCGGGGGCTCGAGAGATGGGCGAGCGGGACTGCTCATGAGACTGCTTGGTCGTATGGAGATTGAAAACGGATGGTGTCACGTGGCGAAACACTCCCCGGGACGCGAGAATACCCTCGCGGACGGGATATCTAGATGGAAGTCAGAGGACGTAGAAGTCAACGTGGAAAGACTCACGCATGACGATAACTGGCGAATGCAAGACATCGGAGACAACGGAAGAGAACAAATTGAAGTGATACAAGGAGAAACTCCCGAACCAGAGAATGGATGGCCTCGTATGGAGCCGGATGGCAAGCGTGTAAAGACAAGAAGTGATAAGAGAATGATGAGCAAGAACTAACAAAGGTGTGATGACTCTAACGTGTTCAAGCGCAGGAAGCGAACCGGGACGAAGGGAACGAGCGATGAAGGCAAAAGGCTCCTCAGGATTATGGAGCACGGCTCCCTCAACGCGAGCACGCTGAAGGGATACCACAGCAAGTGGGACACGTGGACAGCTGAAAGAGCTAAAGCGAATTTGAGTCCATGATTGTACGAAAAGGACGGTGTGGATAGCGCAGTGAGAAAGCTGACTGTGTATGGCGTCGGTGTTAAGTGTACAAGAACCAGAGCCAAACGGTGAAGGGGTTCCTTGCGGCTATCAAGTACTTCCACAAACTGTACACAGGCTGGGAGCTGCCCACGTCGCACTTCCGAGTGGTAGCTGCTGGGAACGCAATAGACAGACTGCATGCGAGGGCAGACACGAAACCGTTGGTAAGGCAACCGCTTACCGTGCCGATGATTATGGCGGGGAGAGAGAGAGCGCAGACGAAAGCTTTCAGGCTAGTGACGTCGATGGGGATCGCTCTCTCGTAGTTCTTCCTGTGCCGGGCGTCTGAGCTGTGGGCCTACCACGGCTTAGACTTGTACACGCCGATTTTTGCCTCACGAGAGGGAACCTCGTATTCTTCGAAGGAGCGTGTCGGTTAGCGTGGAACGAAGAAAAAAGGCGGGCAGACAGAGTAGAAGTGACCTTTCGCGCATCGAAAGCGGACCAAAAGAGGCGAGGCGCGGTATTGACGAGAGAGAGAGTGTAGTGCGGGACGAGGAAGGGGAACAGATGGCTGAGAAGATGGAGGCGCTAGAGGTTTTGATGAACCTGCTTGACGTGCACCCAGAGTTAGGAAGTAGC